CCCAGATTGTTGAATGACATTCGCGTTCTATTTGAGAGTTAACTTCGTCGGCGATATCTTGAGCGATGGAATGTTTTGATTCTGTTATGCTAATGTCAGAAATTGTAACATTTCAACGAAAACAGAAGTCAGACGTATTCAAACCCATAACCTAGTTCGTGTTTTCCCTTGTGTCTTTGACAAAGACGCGAAACCCACTTTTCAGTATCTTTTTGATCACTCAAGTGTGCTCAAATGAGCTTTTGTGGAAACAAAACGCTTTTATCCTGGCATAATTTGGCCTCAAATATCATAACGAAACTAAGAAGGTGCCTGTTTTAATTAAATGCATCCTCGAAAACCTCGTTAAGCAAACCGCGCGCGTCTCATTTAAGTTCATAACATTAATCAACTTACCCGGCCATCGTTTAAGTTATCCGCTGCGCAAATGGAGGAAAGCGCTTAGGGGGTGTTTGTTTTGATGAGGTTTGGCCAAACATCACCCACTTCCCGCTCACGTCAACTCGTACTCCGCTTTCTTCCGGCGCATCAGGAAATAGAAAGCAAACGCAACTTGAAACACCAATCAGTGATGCCTGTCCAGGTGGAAACGTTTCTTTTAAATGTTGAAGAGGGTCTGGCCTCAATGGAAACCGCTAATTCGCCGCAAAATCAAAATAGAAATCCTGATTGGTTACTACAGAGCTAAGGTCAATTGTGATTGGTTGACATGGCGAGTTGGTCGATACGATTGGATAACTCCATTGACTTCCGATGAAATCGGTCAAGGTGGAATGGGACAAAGAACGGCATGCAACTATGGAGGGAATCTAAAGATGATTAATCAATCGTTTAGGGTGTATGACAAATCCGGTTGGCCGATTATCAACCGTAGCTATGTTCAAGTCTGAAAATTACTTGAAACACGCTTCCACCAACCGTCTGATAAAGAGGCTGGATATTTCAGTTTAACTAAACTTGAATTTGTAATCTGCTTCACGCAAAAGTCCCTTGTCGATAGATTTATATCCCAACATTTTCTTATAACACTGGCAGGGCAAGGTTTAAAGCCATTTCCTCGAATTTCCCAAGGATATTCTTCTGGTCTGGATATCATGCCGACACGTCTAGTGTAACACAGACAAACATGTCACTGAATTCATCATAGTCGTTTTCCATCTTCAATAATATGGAAAATTCAGAATATCCTTACAATTATTACACTACTTTATCACCTTAATACAGTGAACTGATGCTCAAAAGTTGTCAAATACTTAAGTGTATTTTATAAAAATATATTTCTTGCGTCATACATGTCTCATTTACCGCAATGGGATTGGCTGTTCCTGATTCTAGATTTCGTTGACGCACGCCAACAGGGTAGCAGTTTGAGTAGGAAGACGCTATCAGGACGCCTAGCCGAATTCGCGAAATGGCGATTGATCGGATTCCATGCAAAGAGCAAGCCTGGAAACTTGGTCACTCAAGTCTACTGCTTGGCGTGTCATAAGAAGGCGCTTATGTGTGGGCTGTGTAGGCTTCAAAGCCGTGTGAAACACAAGAGCGCAAATTTTTCTGTGAATGACGTTTGAAGGTGAAGATTTTGGACACACAAATGAGCGTGAAACGGACTGACTGAAATTGAATTTGTTTTGTACAATTCTAGGAACCGTTTGCGTGGCTTCCTTTTTCCCCGATGGAAACAGGACTGGAGACGATTATCCGGCGATGCTTCAGAACTACCAGTCTGACGGAATGGGGACAAAAAAGGAAGCCAAATTCGTTTTATCCACTACACTGAAAACTCATACTGCAAGGATACCTTAGCAAGCTGGTTCAAAGGTGTTCCTGATGGAGAAAAGGACCATTAAAATGGACCTCACGCTCACCTGACCCGCCAATCACAGATTTCACTCTGTGGGGTCATTTGACAGGATTAATTTATGCTCTTCCAATTTCACGTTGGCAGATGAATTCAAGAAGAGGTTGAGCTACAAAGTTAGACTGACGTTTGAACTGAGCGCAAATGTTATCGAAAATTCTTGAAATCATTGTCAACCTGGTGACAACTTTTTCACCGTGGGAGTTTTGATCAGAGGTGTCATGGATGCATCAAAAGAAGGCCAATGTTTTTGCAGGAAATCAAAGTTTCTAGTCAACTGCTAAGCGTAGTATACCATCACAGCATTCCAACAACCGCCGTGCTCAAACACAGCGCAAACGCTCTGTTGTTGTGAAGTATCCCGTTGCTTATAGTTAAAGAAATTTCGTTTAGTGAACATCTTTGCGTTTGGGACCATGATAGCCTGCTTCTTGAGACAAGGCACGTATTACGGCTGCTCTTCCTGTGTTGTATTTCTTGTACTTCCTGAACTAGCTGCTTTGACTTGATGATAATTGAGATAACTGCCTGTGAACCATATTTGTGGACAGCGAGTTGCTCCTAGAATCTAAAAGTAAAGTTTTACCGTAAGAACGGTTCAGATTTCAATGCCGAAGAAGGCAACACACAACGGATTAAAACAAGGTACTCTTAAGCATTTCATGCCATCAAAACATTCCATCGCTCAAGATATCGCCGACGAAGTTAACTCTCAAATAGAACGCGAATGTCATTCAACAATCTGGGCTTTTGAGTTGCAAAGTAGCCTCAAAGTTAGACCTCACTTGAGTCCTAAAAGATAGACTCAATACCACCTGCTGAAGACGTCGCCACGTGATGCCAATCTGCACCCACCTTTACAGAATAGTCAACCAGGTCTTGTTGTTGCAACCAATGGTCACTTTTCAGGACGAAGATGTGTTGATTAAGTGAATTACCGCAAAAGCAACCCAGTGGGATGTTCGCCGTAATGGGGGCGTTGAGCGTAGCGGTGTTTACTGAGTTGACCAGGCGGGGAAACACGCCGACCATCAAAGCGTCCACTTTTTCGGCATAAGCGGCTGCACAAAGCAGCCATGCGCTGTCACGCAAAGAACAACCGCTAATTGCCAACCGCACATGCATCCTGCTGCCTCAGTCGTTTCGCGTAACTCCACAACATGGTGACAATACCGACACAACCACACAGCATGGTGCGTGCGCATTCGCCGATGACGTGGAACTGCGTGGTCACCTGTTTAGTGAGACGCCATTCAAGTTGTCCTCAGTCAAATGATGTGAGTTCTCTTTTGCGATGCCGTGAGTATAACCGCCTCGCTGTCGTGGACGTACACACCGTGTTGTTGGACGTTGGTTGGTTCGGTGCATCTCAGCCAATACAAGCGGCCAATTCAAAGGCAAGTTGACCAATCAGGGTCGCTAGTATTTCACATGTCTTCTCTAATTGGACCCCGTCGAGTGGGGTTGTGGAACATGGTGGATACGAACGCGACACACAGAATGCTGCCACCACCGTCACTGCAACCAATGAGAAGACGTTGGCGATTTGACTTGGCAACTTACCTGATCCACTACAATCCCACTGCCAGCGTGACGGATGTGATGTGAGTTTTCTTTTGCCGTGTCTTGAGCTTAACCTCCTTGCTGTCGTGAACGTACACACAGTGTTGTTAGACGCTGGTTGGTGCGGTGCATCTCAGCCAACACAAGCGGTGTGAGTGCGCTGTCCAGGAGGTGCTCACTGGTGTGGACACGCAACGGCATTTCGGAGGCTACCGTGGGAGTGTGGGACGTGTTCCCAGCAAACATCCTCGGTCAGTTGCGCTGACTTAGTTGCCGCCGATTTACGCAGGTGATGGTGAAGAGACGACACAACCGCTTATCGCTTGACAGTGTGTCTCTCCCCCGAAAATTAACCCAAAACGAATCGTTCGCATTTCAATCAGCTTGTGGCCGGTAAACAAAGTTGTTATGCAAAACTTGAGTGTCAAGTGACAATACCAAAACGCCGCCCACTTAAAATGATGATATTCGTGTAAGTTGGGTTGCATGAAGTCGTGCACTTCTCAATTGAAGTAAAATTAGCTGATGTCAAATGAATTGTGCAACCTTCTATCACAACCACGTCATCCTCCTGTCTTCGTATTTATCTTATAATTGAACCAATTGTTGGATATTTGTTATAGTTAATCCAAATGTGCTCTTCCGATATTTTATGCCGTCAGACCTTGAAGTGTTTGATATCTGGTGTGGAATTACTACGCTATCTACCCCAAATCGTGAACGAAGTAGCCAATCAGCATGCGTGAAGTTTGTTTGAAACGATGCGATACTTATAAAAACAACCTAAAGCATCCTCCATACATGTGGTTATGGTCAGGCAAAGACGACGTTGTTTCTGTCGACTTCGACAACTTCATTTGCAGTCGCGTTGGTAGTTAATGTAGCAGTGTCAAGGTCATGTGGAGTGAAGAGCAATCACATTGATGATGCAGCACAATCTTGGGTACAAGCAAGTGGACCAATCAGTGTCGCTAGTGTTTCACATCCTTTCTCCAATTAGACCCGTTCGAGTGGGGTTGGTGAACGTGGTGGATGCTACCACTACCATCACTCCAACCAATGGGAAGACGTTGGCGATTTGACTTGGCAACTTACCTGATCCACTACAATCCCACTGCCAGCGTGACGGACACCAAAAGAGGGGGCGGGGAGCATGGTGGCGCCGCAGCTGTCTCCCCTGAGGCAGCATCGCTCGACTGCACAACTAAAGTGCATCATTTGAGCATGCACCCTCCATGCAATCACAAACCGATTTGATGTGGGTGTGTGAGTTTGACAGTCTAAATGTTACAAATCGCAGCTAAACAAACTTGAGCGAGAGGCTAATCCATAATCGTGGCATTTGCAATGGGCAACGCAAATAAGGAACTGCTAAAGTGGAGATATACTGCTTCAATAAACATGACTGCGTTTGTGCAGCTATTATTGACTCTTTTTATTCGACGTTGTGTTTCAATATGAGGGCTTCCCTAGGCTTACTGGAATCCAAATGAACTGAAGTAAATTCATCACCTCAGTTAGTAACTGCAAATTCTCACCTTGGTCTGATGTTGCTGTCAGCAGTGGTGTGCAAATGTATTCCACTGTGGCAATCCATTAGGGAGTCACTTCGCAACAGATGTTGTTTTAGTCAATCAGCGCTTATCTATGAGCGTTGTGACAGAGATAAATGGCGCCACGAGTCAATTTGAATCCTCACACACGGTGCAGTCGCCTGGCTGATGGCGGAGAGGAATGTGACGCCATGAAATGCGCTTTTTCAAACTGCTGGTACAAGCTTTTGTGAGTCCGTGAACAGCAACGAAATGTTTTTGTTGAATTATTCACGCGAGACGAGAAGAACAGTGGAGGTGGAGTGTATGTCGTCGTGTACGTGGAGGAGTGGCCGCCAGATGGGATTATTAATGAAGAAAGCAAAGTCGTAAAATTTTTATTTTCTTGCTGGCTCATCCATTGGGTTTTTCTGTTTCATCTTTTGGAAATCTGATGCCGTGTTGTCGCTGCATGTGACAGACGCCAAATTGCGTCTAGTTAATTCACTTTTGCGGATCATTCCATCACATAGCCTGGAAACCCTTAAATTCACTCTTCTTTGCGTTGGTTTTGTTTGAATTTTTGTTTTCAATGTATTTTAAGACGATGCCTTGAAAAAAGCAGCGCATTTTGTTTTGTTTTAGATCTCAGAAGTATAGCCAATCACTGCTAAATTGTTTGAAATGATTTTAATGAACGGCGCTGATTTTAAAGAAGCATGCGAATTGACTCATGTGCGGATTGGTTTGAATGCTTTGTTGTGGCAAAATTTTTGTAGCATGGTTTAATTCGAAACTAAACCTGTAATGAGGATAAGTTATGTTTCGTTAACCTCCAACAAGACAGTTAGAATGCTGACTCACTTAACATCATCAGTCGGCAACCGGAACCCTTCCAGCGTGGTCCGTTAAGAATGTAGTTGAAGCAGGACGCGCTTGTGCGAAGAGGCGCCTTGATGATGGCCATCAGTCCACGTTCCATTGGCACTAAAGGAAAAAACCATAATAAAACCCACTCAGCCATTACCAACACACGAACAAATGTGCCCTACCGCCCTTTGAACTCGTCAAAGCATTGCCCAATTCTGCCATCTTATGTGGTGCTAAGAAATGATTTCTGATGGAAATTAGCTCGCCGAAGTCCGTGGACGAATCATACATAAGTAGTTTGTGTAACACACCATTTTTATGATGAACTAAATATTTTATAGAATAAGATTTTACCCTCAAAATGAATGGAATGCAATCCACCAGAATGCCTCGGTGTTTGTTAAAGCTCGTCATTCGTTATGACAAGCACAAGCCAAAGTATCCAAGTCGCCCTCAGAGCGATTTTCGTTAGCACCATTTACCCAATCAAAATTATCTCACCTTTTGTTTAGTTTTGTAAAGAGGAATTAGGAACTGCAAAACAATAGCTTTCATTGAGTATACTTAAGTTGAACCGAATCAGCAGCTACTTGAAGATGCGGTGAGACCATTAATCACGAATATCGGTTCACGCTGGATTCACGAGCTGCTGCTGCCAAATCCCAAACTGAAATAATCTCATTTTGACAGAAAATTAACTAGGTCAGCCTCGTCCCTAAGCCATATTTATTACATTGTGAATCGCCAAAACCATGAGCGGTTCATGCGACCTCAGTTCTGCTCGTCGGCATGTGATTGGTGCAAGTAATTGCAAAGACCGCCGCATTAGCGATGGAACGGGTTTCCAGTTGCCTGGTTTTCTAGTTGAAAAAAAACTTCAAAAGAGGTTCCAGTTATTTGATAAAAGTACTACACTGTAACATCTTTCTATTGTTCCTTTGCCTGCAGCACTTTGATGTAGTAAAAAGTCATGTGCTCTATTATTAGTCAACAGATTTTATAGGCAACAGAGCGACTGTGACCAATTCGCGCTAAGGAAATTCCATGCAAATGACGCGCTCAATGGCAGCGTGTAGCAATCCTTCATTCCAGTGGTAATTTGCCCCTAGTGACAAAAAGGCTGAATTTTAGCAGACTAGTATATGATGTTTACAAGATTAAAGATTTTGAAGATACTTTTTTCAAGTTTCGCTTAAAAGAAATACGTGGTTGCTGGTGAATGCCTAAAACTAACAAGATATCTGGTTTTTCGGGGCGTATTATAATCGAACGCCATCTTTCTGATGTTAACAAATATGTAGAGAAGACAACATTTACACATCGTTTGATTTTTATGGAAAAGTAATCAGAAATTTTGCGCAAATTCATTGAATCTGCATTGGCAAAAGGTATTTAAAAGTACCGATGCCTTGAAAACTACCTGATTGAATGAACTAATTAATGAATTACGACCCATCATATTTGCTTGGTGATTGGTGGGATTTAAATTAAATAATCCTAAAAATGTGATATTTAGGTTCAGAAAACTGGTCTTAGTCACACGCACACACTCCGTGTGATTTATCAGCTCACGTTTGGCACACACACATACACACAACTAACCCGGACTAAAACTAATAAAATGTCCTGGGGAATGCCATAATATTTTTATTTCCGTTGCCTGGTGCTCAGTTCATATTTCCCGCGCACGACTTGTACGCAAGGAGATAACCTGAGTGGCTTAAAATAGTAGCACTCTTTCTTTTAGTAAATGCAACTTCTTTCATTAACTTTTTTACAGAAAACCACGCACTCTCACACAGAACATGCTAATTCAAATGATGCGGGTGTGTTTAATTGGATGATTAAATAATTAACCAATTAAAACCCTTAATTTCTACCGTGCGCCTCTTGAGTATAGAACAAATTGTTGCAAATGTATTCTGACACCAAGTTATCGCCAATCCCAATGGAGATAGGTAAGTTACTAGAGCACCAATTACCCTTGTCTCAATAACACGTCTTAAACAAATCAACGTGATTGGTCCTATCAAATATTGCAACACAAAATCCTATTGGTCACGTTCTGTTCACCTCTTGATAGTAACTTTTATCCCTGATTATACATGAACAAGGCAGTCCAAAGAATTGAATTCATGCAAAGCTGATTTGCTTCGTAGTCGAATTGTCATTAGCTTGAATCAAAATCATCGAAATTGGTAATGTAGATTAGTGGTCCGCAATGTTAAAACGATAACCTGCAGTATTCAGGTGTTAGTCTTGAATACTACAGTTCATTTCCTCTCTGTATTCGATTTATTGGTCCCCAAGAGTCAAAACTTCCTCGAAACATAAGAGCCCAAGAATGGTATCGGCGACGTGGGTGGCGTTGCGCCAGCACAGTTGACCTTTGACATGTGAGTTCATGCGCGGTCACTTGTAAAAATTATTAAGGTGCTTTAATGGAAATAACCTTGAAATTATCTAGCAATCGTACCTTGTGTTTTATAGCAAACTTGGAAGACACCTGCCAGCATGTTGTACACCTCAATCAGAGTTGTGGTGTTGGAAGTGGTGTTGGCATTGGTACTCAGTTTGAGGAGTCCAGCACCAACAACGGATTTCTGCGCCTCCCCGGCTTGGGTCCTATTGAAGAGGCGCCCACAGGCCTCGCGGCATGCATGGACCTCGTTCTTGTCGAAGGGTATCCTGCTTCCGGTTTCCAGGATGAGGTAAGCCAACGACCAGGTGCGTGATTGGCTGGCTGGTGTCGAGCACGCAAATCGCACGACCTTGTCGAAAGCGAACTCAACGCGCTCCCACTGAGGTGAGAAGGTGGTGCACACCATGAGGATTAGCGCGAGCACCGGCAGGGTGGTTGCCGTGGCCAGGAGGCGCTTGAACCGGTTCGAGAGTTTCACTCGCTTCGGCGGTGTCGACGGTGAGTTGCGACCACTGGGTGAGCGCGACACAACCTGAGATCCACGAGCTTGCGTGACCTCGTAGCCATGGGAACCATGGCGCGTGCGACCGTCAGGTGGTGGTTGCTCCATGAGTCAAATTACCCTCTGACAAGTGTGGTGGAATCACGGGCAAATGCAAATGGATTTTGCAAGTCGCGAGATTTGATTGGTTGAACAGCCCTTCCTTCAAAGCTCCTCGTGATTGGACAAGAAGTAAGAGGGGAGAGAGAGAGGCAGAGACAGTGGAATTCTTTGAATAATGTACCAATTCAGGTGCCTTTTTTGGACTAAATTCTATCCGGTGGCAGGATTCGTCCTTAGTTCAGCTTACAGAAAGTAGTAGCTACCTTGCCTCTTTACCCCGATATCGCAGTGTCTCTTCTTTCGACTCTACCTCCATAATTTTGAGGTTGCATACCGCACCCAGTTCATTTGTCCGTTGCCTTGGAAGTCACGGTGATTGAGCCTACTGAAATCGTAAATCCTCTTGGCAACAATTCGTGTAGTTCAAATTCCAAAATAAGACATCTTCAAAAGGCGAGAGTGCCTTACAAATCAGTCCACAATTACTGATCAGCCAATCCTCGATTAACTTAAAGTAACATGTTTTTTTAATAATTCAAATAGACTGCAGTATTCTTGGCCTTATTATAGCATTTTATGTCTGCAAAAAGTTTTGCAAATAATCCATACTAGCATCCAACCAGCTGCTCTCAAAGTAACTAGTTAGAAAACCGCATTCTTTTCGGTCTGTTCTCGTGTATTGTGTGTGTTAACGAAAAATACGATTGCTACAGGATCTCATTGGGTCATTTAAACCACCAATTGAGTGCTTCTGGTGTGATCTGGTTGGACAATTTAAGGTGTATAATGATTGGTTAGAAAGGAGTGAGGTTAAAAACCCACAGAACTGAGCATTTTCCCTCTGAAAACATAACCATTGAAAACGTGCCTGACATGGGTCCCGTAACATGGGGGGGCCGCCATGTTGAATTTATCCAGCTAAACTGCGCAGATAATCGGAAAGACTAAAAATACCGGAGATAACAGAGATACAATCATTAATCAGGTAGTTCAACCCTGAATGCTTTGCAATATGTGTGTATTCTAGGTCGCATATTCCTATAGGTCTCATCCATTCCGCAGAGGGGGGTGGTGGTGGTAGTGGTGGAAACCAGCTGTTTGATAATATATACTGGGGAATCAGATCCAGCCAATTAAAATTATCAATCCAGTTAAATACTGCAAAACCAAGTTTAAAAGACGATTTCAATAAGGTAATTCGCGTGCCTTTTGGCCAAAGTCCCAGCACCCTTTCAACAGAGTATCTTTTCTCACCTTTGCCTAATTTTAACTCGGCGGTTTGGATCAGTCTTCTACAGGGAGATCGCACTAATAAAAATTAAGCTCCACTACGTTTATTAATCCTATGACTGGTCATTTAATCCTCTCTCAACATAATTACTTTGCCCGCATTGGAAGAACAAGTTTTAAAATTCCGAAAGCGTTTGTTTGCGACCTGAGTGGCGTCACACATTCCTGGCTGCTCTCTTACAATCAACACTTAACGAACCCAAATTAATCTACCAATAGGAGGCTCGAACTCAATGCTCACCAATCAAAATCGACTGGTGACGACAGGCACACCAAGGTGCTACCAATTCGACACTCAACACGCGTCAATGTGTGAGTGCGCTCTGTGCCTCCTACTTGCCGAGGCGTTCATTAATCACGCTGGTGCCCGGCATTTAATCGTTTTTGTGTGATGACATTGGAGACTTGCGTGCATTGCAAATCCCAGTAAGTGTCTTTGTGTCTCTTATCTGTAATTTCACGCTAGCCAATCAGTATCTTCATTTAAATATCGACTTCTTATTATGTCAGGGTGATTTGAGTTCAGATAATATCGATTATTGCCTGGAGTGCCGAGGGCTTAAACTTGCATTGCTCGTCAATGTTTCATAATGTAAGGTTTAGTCTCCACAATCAGGGGGTTAATTACCTACACAAAGACATTGCCATTCAGAGTCGTTCAACGAGTCGAGCAAGCACTAATCGAGTGTCATGGATACTTTTTGTACACTCATCAGATTGGCTGACCGTCATCGTGAAATTAGCAGTTGCAGGGCAACGACAACCAACCAGGTACTATGACAGCAAGTTCTACACTCGACATCGATGCCATTCCCCCTACCTGGAATGGCAGTTACCAACACTGCCGAAAGATCACAGTTCCGTCAAGTTATCTTATGTACGTTCAGAAAAGACGCCGAGAGAGCTGGAAATTCGAGGAGCAATAATGAAGGCGATTATTTGAATCGTGTCTCGGCATTTAGGACGGTTATTTTGGCAGTTTGGTCCACTTTAACGTGGGGGCCTCTGAGCGAACTTCTGAGACAAGTTGACCACTTCTTCGTTGCACCAACTACCTCGGACGGCTCGTAAGTTTGATGGAGTCGAATGAGGTCGCCCCAGGACAACGACAACCGTTCACTTCCAGGAACGCACCAGGTGACAGAAAGTCATCAGGAGAATTTAGTAATTCAGAGATGATCAACGAGTTGAGAAAATATTTGCCAATTGCAAAATATTTTGCCCATTTTTCATCGATACTCCCTTAACACTCATCTGATTGGCTGAGCCAAGGTTGTCTAGAAACACCGTTTGTTTAAACCCATTTGAGTGTTCAGGTCACTTATTCAAAGTGGGAATAGAAAGCCCACATTTCCGTCATGTTATGCTATTTGACTTCAGAAAAGGGCGGCGTGAGTGTTGAAACTCCAGGAAACAATATTCAAGGCATTCATTCGAGTCATGTGTTGGCGGCTGAGTCGATTTCAGCACGGTGGCTTCAATCCAACGACACGCTTAGCCCTGGGCAAAGTTCTCTCATCGATGCTGAACCTATCCGTGTGTTGGGTTATTAAAATCCAGCGATCGCCACTAGAGTGATTATTTAGTGACTAAATGTTGACTATTTGAGGGCATTTGGCCAAGTAAAGCGGTCTGAGTACACTTCGAAACGGGATGCATGTGCTCCTCACGTCTTGACGGGACACAACCAACTCGACCGTGTTCCTAAGGTCATTTGTCCCTCCGTCGGCTGACAAAACGATACTTTTTGGATCAAGACGTAACTGCTGTAGCTGAAATACCGTTTGTATTTGAAAATACGATACGACAAAAGAAGCCGGTAACACGAAATCGGAAGAACAGCATCTTTGACTGATGGCTGAATTGTTGCATCCAATGAATGTAGGTTAACCTTAACAACGGAGAGGTACTGTGATCAATTCGCTCAACCCAATGTTGACATCCAAACGCAACGTCAAAATTCGGTCAAGCGAAAAAGCTTGAGGTGTGAACATGGCAGCACTAAACCGCTTGCCTCTTGCCTTATTTGAAGTATTTTATCCATTTAAAGACGGAAAATTCCTTTCGATATTTTTGCAGTTTCGGCAAAGAAGGTATCAAAAGTTAAAAACGCTGTGGGACAGTTATAGGAAATACCAAAAAATACATTATCTAATAATAATATTTTTATATGAAAGGCGTGATCTACATTCTGGTTTCTGATTGGATATAAACTTTCACAATATTCCGGACGTTAGCTGTTGGAAGAACTTGTTAGTACCTACCACACACACAGAAATTGCTTTTACGAATCATGAAACCGGCGTCTGAGATTATGGTGATGATCGCAGCTAACATTTTTCCCATTTCGCATTGGATTTTTCAGTTAAAAACTCGTTGTTTGGAATAGAACAGCAATTGAGGCGCCAAATTGAGTCATCGTGGTTTCGGATTAGGTCGATTTCCTCGAAATTGACTAGCCAATTTTTGAAATTTTATTTATTAAAATTGACGAGCATTATTGAATTTGAGTCATTCCATGGGATTAAACCATGGTAGGCTAAATGTTAGACAATTACAAATTATTCTTTCCGTAGTAACTAAGGGAAGGGTGACATCGTGATGGCTTTGTGGACCACATCAAACACTTCATTAGTTGTAACAAGATGCTGATACAGCCCGTCTTCGTGAACATCAGCTATTGGTTTTGAGCTAATTGGTTGCTTTTTTCATTTTCGGTTCCCCATTGGCCGCAGAGGTCTGCCATTTTCGAATTGACCAATCATGTTCAAGACGACAATGATGCACTTGCAATTCCTGAACCTTTTTGTTTTTGTATTATTTTGAGTTGACTTTAGTTGGTTTTCCAATCCGCCAGGATGGAGAAAATTTGTAAAGGAAACAAAACTCGCAGAAAAAACCACACCACGATGTGCAGAAATGTTTGAATCCGATATTTACCCTTATGTTCTAGAATTCCAGTGGCAGTTGAACTGGCATGTGGGCATTTGCACTGCAGAAAGTGCCTCCTACCGAAGAACGACTGCGTTCCCCTCTACCTCATGTGCAGAGATTGTTACGAAGTTACCCCAACTGATGTGGCCACCGTTCCTCAGGTAAACTCGAAGTCCTATTGGTCATTCACATTCAATAATGGTGTATCACAGTTTGTAAGCCAAAATCGATATCTGTGCGATTAACTTTACGCCAATGAGAATAACTTTCATGGGGCATTTCGGAATTGGTTTTCCCATGTGGCAGGAATCGAGCTCTGAACTGACTAAACGGAACCGTATTAACCAGAATTACTGTTTATTTTTACAGATAAGTAGCAAAATTTTCGTGGAGATGAAGCAATCACTCTATGCTAAAACACGTGCAACCACTGTATTTTATTGGTATCTTATTAGAAGGTTCTAACACATATCTGTCAGATTCTGCCTTATTTTGATTTAATTACGGAGTCCGTTAAATAGGACTGAAAATTTACACCAGCTCCCCGGAAGATGTTCGAATGTAGACTTTTGTCGATGTTCCAGCCAATCGGTTTACTTAGAAGTAGCGCGTTCGACGGTCTAAGGGTGAGGCAATGCTTAATACTTTCAGCTCGAATCATCTACGAAAGTAAATATCCGGCGAGACAGGATTCGGAAAGAATTGGCCCGTATTCAGCTCATTAGGAAGCGGGGCGAAGAACTCTTCGACGAGGCGGAGAAACTGCGAGAAAAGGTCTTGGAAGCCTTCTACAATCTTCTCTCCAGATCTACCAAACCGGATGATCAGCTGTCTTTAACCGATGCTCTACACTTAATGGAGACCACACTGAATGAGTTAGAAGATTGGAGTAGACGCGCTGTTGCCGTCAAAGATCCTGTAGGTTTTCTTGAACGTTCAAATTGGCCACTTTAAAATATTCACATCCAGTTCTCTCACTTCATAATCATTCACTGGCAGCGTAATCAAAGTTGCCTATTTTGTCATTTAAAAAAACCAACACGGGTGAAGAGATTGCTAAAATTAAAAAAAGGATAGTTCATTTGTGTTTATTGTGGCTAATCTGCAAATTTTAAACCTATATGAGTCAATCACAAAAAGTCCAACTTAAACGATAACTTTGTTCTCTTCGTTTCAGCATGACAAAACAATTGACGAATTATGCCGCTCTGGGGTTGATTTAATTAAAAGAGCCAGCGAACTGTCAGAAAAGTATCAAAGGGAAGTGAATGTGCAGCCGTATGTCCCAACCACATCCTACTTCCAGGTAGGCTTGCACTAACATTAATGGATTCGCGATTTTTCATGATTTCGACCTATTTGACCTTAAACAGTCTGCCATTTTCACCATGAGCGCATTTTAAATGGTTAGATAAATCGATATTTAGGTTGGCACAAAATGCAGCTCCCCATAAGGCGACCATCAACAGTCTTACGAATGGACTTCGATTAGTGCCAGGAATATTGGAGTGGGAAGTGACCTTAGACAAATCGATGAGAAAATCGATGAAGTTTGCTTCTCGGCTCAAACACCACTTGGGAATCGATTATGGCAACCTATGTCAAAATTAGTACTTGAAATAAGTAAGAATCGCCTTTCAAGAAATCTGCAACAAATATCTGGGAGTTGCCAAGGCTGGAATGGACAACGCGGTTAGACAAACCAGCGCCACACCTATCGCCAAGTTTACATCGAACACAGACTCGTTCTGTCGAGTGAAATATTCTTGATTGACTCACCACGCAAATGTCGTGCTTCTTAAGAATACAAAAGCATCTCCAAACAGTGCACGTGGTATTCATACGCCCATTCATTCGTGGAATCAATTTGACTTGGTTAAGCTTGAGTGGAAAATCCCCGTTAGGCAATTTCCTAAACCAATTCTGACAAGTGCGTTACTAGAAGGAATCAACAGGTCGACTGAGATGGCAGATAAAAATGAAATTGCGCGCATTTTTGCCGGAGGCAGTTATGCGCAAATGACATCTATCAAAACCGAGGGCACGCTTTTGCCATCTCAATATCACACAGTAATCCACGTGTGGGAACCAAAGTTTCAAATGATCATTCACTTGTTGGGTCAGTAGAGTGTGCGCGTTAAGCGCGATTTTGGAGCTATGTCAATTTGACGCCTGTTTTATTTTTAGCTAAAGGATATCCTGGAATCACCCATATTTATTTATCCCGACTAACGCGATCGTCTAGACTAGACCCGCATTCATCCCATTTTTTTTAATAAAAAGAAACTCCGTTTTGGGCTATTTTTACTGCATTTCTGTTATACCCGGAAAGCCACTCAAAATGTCATTAAGGTTATCCAGATCCGATTGGGATCAAAAAGGCTTCATTGTGCTACATAATTAGTACAGCATCACAACTATTTACAGCCTGGGCCATATTACTCCAAACGACATCACCAACTGTGCCAAATCAGGGTGCCTGAAGCACCGCCCAAAATTTAAACAAATCGACAGTCTATGCGGCACCACCTTTCGTGAGAACCTGGTATCGCAGGAGGGTTCTAAGGAGTGCAATTACTGTCCTTGCGTATCAGCCTGACCCCAACAGGGCATGATTCATCTGGGAAATTATAAATGAAGTGGACGAGAAACTGACATTTCTCAACCGTGGCGCACTTGACCTTGGCAGCGGGGAGAACCAATGGGAGCGTGCGCGCGAGCGAGACGCGACCCAGCAAGATAATTGGTCCGAACACAGATCACTTCTCATGAATGGACATCAAAACAAAGAGCAGATGACTATTACTTGTACTTTTTTTTACAAAAAAGCATTACTTGATTTAGAAAGAGGGAAATACGTTCATTAAAAATGAACCCCTGTGGATTCATCCACGAGAAGGGGCTTCAGGAAGGGCAGCTCTTTGAAAAGCCAAACTGGTGAAGAATTTCCTCCGTCTGGACCAAGGCACTACACAAACAAGACATGGAAAGACGATTAAAGGCACTGTTTTCGCGATAATCAATCTCCACCTTGACAAGCGCTATTCTGACTAAATACTCAGGCGGAGGAAATTCATTAAAATCAGTTTATTTGTGCCACAAATTACGGTGGCGTCTGATGGACGTAGCGACAAGTCGACACAACCCCGCCTGTTCTGCACTAGAGTTAAGATTAAGGGATTGACAACGACACCTTTTGCAAACGGTGAGTAGATACTTTAAAATGAGTGCTAGGGTGGCGTGATTCATACCTACATCGATTGTTTTGTACTAAAAGTGATGGTCCACAGGAAAATAATGTCAAGTGCAATATTCCATGATGTTCACAAACAAGAAGGCCCGTAGAGAGAATGTGGCAATCCGATCATGTAGTTAGAAGGGGCAGTGAAATCTATTATTGATTTGGACAGGACAGGACACTCCACTGAAAAAAGGCCAGACCTTGCCGGTAGATCCAAATACTGTGGTTGATTGGTTCAATTAGTGGTTCCACAAGGTCTGCCTCGAAATGGCATCTCCGTTGCCAAGGGAGGAAAGCTAAATTGAACACTGAAAAACCCAGAACAACTCAGAAAGACCAGATTTGCAGGACACCGTATGTTTAATTGTAGAGGAACACGCGCTGGAGAACAAGGTGGCGACCCAATTTGGCATTTTCGGAACCTCTGCTCATGAGTTGATGGTCTGTGGGTCGTCGAGGCATATTCAACAATACATTTTGACGAATAGCGACCAACTCTAAGGCGTATGAGCACGAAACCGGAGTCGATCACCAGACAAACTGAGTCGATCCAATTAGATTGGGCTTGGTTAGACAGCGAAATTTGGATTTTGGCGGAAAACGAAAGCTACCACGTAGCAATCCTACGCACCTGTCAGTTAACAGCCGTTATTTAACTTGGGTTTGATTTCCGTTACGCAAATTACATATTTTAAATTTGATTTTGATTTATAGCCAGTGTCTGATGGGGCAGGAATCACGCTATGGTAACCCAGACAAGACAAGGTCGGATTCGTGTTCGCATTACCTTCCTTCACGCAGGATGCGATAGGGGCGAGTGCTTTGGGCAGAGGTGTCGGATTGTCGCACTGTAGGAGAGAGGTCGACGACGGTGGAAGCTGCACGATGCAGCTGATCGTCTCCAGCTTCTCCACCAATACGACCTCCATCGAGGACAAGATCCAATTCGGGCCAGAGGCACGAGAATTCCTATGGCAAGACAGAAAAGAGGACTACTTTATATCGCGTTCGGAAAAACCATTGAAGTAGATGTCCAAGCGCAGTCACCGAATATAAGGAAATTCTGCTTACGCTGTCGTCTTATCTGTAGTCCGCCACAAACCAGACAGGGGTCAGTTGAAAACGAAACTCGAAAAGAACAAGACAAGTACAGACCACTCACGTCAGGAGACAGAGTTGACTGATAACCACTGGGGTTGGCGGATGTGAGAACAAGAGGTATGGCAGTGACCGAAGCATAGCCTTTGTCCTTCATCGAGGGGTGAAAATAGAGGTCGTCGATTGTGATTAAGCCCTCCTCTCGCAAGACAGTCGCCAGTGCCGCTGAGAGACGACATACAAGCGGACTGTCTGGAACACGGATGCCGATTTCGGCGACGCCAGGATTTAACAGGGGGCACAGGGGATCTTCAGGCAGTCGAGGAAGCAAAACCGTGACCGGACCCGGGAGGAGGGTAGAGAGGAGGTCGTTGCTGATGCCCTGAGTGTCGCACCATTGGGGGAGACTGGCAGCCTTTGTAAAGGGAATACCTTACATTAACTGACAACAAGAGTATTATTGTGGGTAAGACGTTGGCTCTACGTCAAGATTCAACCGAAAACAGTGAAATATTTACGTTTCGACAACGTCCAGAATACTTAATAATGCTCTGGTCATTAACAAACTGCTCGATTTGATGAAAACCGAGTGGGAAGTTGACGAAATACGCAACCAAGAAGCGTGCAAGATAATGATGTAAGAGATCAAGTGTTGAACAACGAGATGTGCTCCTTAGTCAAACAAAAGTTATGAACATAAGACATCACGAAATTTTTTACAAGCTAATGAACCAGTGCAAGTGGCATACCAAATAAGCAAAAATTAATCCGCACACAGCAAACTTGACATTAAACTGCAATGATAATTTTCCATATTGAATAAAGCATCAACTTAGTACATGAGTACTTTAACATGGCAAATTCAACAGCGTAAATATTTTTTTCCAAAAAATACCTTGTCTAGGCAAATTGCCATGGGTTTAGCAGAATCACGTCCCTTGATCTTGTAGATCCGATTTAATGCTCGTTTTGACAAACAACAACAGGCTAG